AGGACGTGATTCAAAGCAAGGAATATGACCACTGCCTCATGAACGGATAACGGCAGCTGCTACTTCTGTTACAATACAGAAGGAGGACGTGAAGCACATGTATGCACTTTAAATTTTAAGTAGAATAAAACATTTTTGTGACATTTTTATGTAGTAAGTAGCTACATTTATTTTTTTTTCACTATGGTATGATACCTTAATTTTATTTTTTAAAGAGAATAAAACAAAACAGAACAAAGCAGATCAGAACAGAACAATGAAAGTAGCACAGGACTTCAAAACAAGACAACAGAAAATCAACAGAGGCTACCGTAATGTCTCTTTGTTTTCTTCAAAATAGCTGTCCACACCTTCATACACAATAAAATCAAACAAAATAGTTTGACTCATCTAAACAAAAGAATGAAACATGACTTTGAAACAGGATAACAGGAAATGAACAATGGTTACTATAATTTCTCATTTTCTTGTTCATACCTTCACACATAATAAAATCAAACAAAATAAAACAATAAAACCAATTAAACAAAGAAGAAAAGCATTATAGGACTTCAAAATAATAGGAAACCAGCAGTAGTTAACATTATACATCCAACTGTGTTCAAAATAGCTGCCCATATCAGACTCTGTAAAATCTAACAAAGCAAAACAGAGCAAAACCAAACCTAACAAAATTATGAAAACCATACAAACGTTCAAGGCAAGACAATAGGAAATTAACAGTGGTTACCACCTTCCCCTCCTCGGGGTTTCCTCCTCTATCTCTTTCGTATCTACTGTGCTTTTTGAATTCCACTAACTCTGGCTTTTAGGCTAGGGTTCACCTATGTGAGTTCAAACCATTTCGCCCATGAACATGGTATCCAGTTACATCCATTTACCTACAAGAGCCTCGAGATATCCTACTTCATAGCTGTGTAGCTTTCCAGGTAGGAAAATACCATATCTTTCTTACCCATTTTGCGGTTCACAGGCAGGTTACTCTTGCTTTTTTTTTTTTTTTCCTAGCCTCCTGTCATATGGAACGATTGTTTTCTCTCCTTTGTCAATCTATAAATTTCCTTTCCAGTTAAGTATATTTTTGTATACAGTATATTGATGGATCTTGTTTCTTCATCTACTCTCCCTGGGTTTTTTTTTTTTTTTATTGGTGAATAGGGGCCATCTACATTTATGGTTCCAATGGCATACCCTGGTTTATCTCTGTCATGCTGTCTTCCTGCTGTTCACCCCATCTTGGTTGGCGATCCTCTTCTGCTGTTGTTCCTGGAACCATGGTCATTTTTATCTTTCTAGAATATCCGTTAGCACTCTTTGAAGGGTTGGTTTGGTGGTCATGAATTCCTTCAGTTGTTCTTTATCATGGAACTATCTTGTTTTTCCATCAATTTTAAAAGATAGTTTTGCAGTGTACATCAATCTTGGTTGGAAGTTGTTTTCTTTCAGGATCTGAAACACTTCACTCTTAACTCTTTTTGACTTGATGGTTTGTGTTGACAAGTCTGCCATGATTCTGATTGGCTTTCCTTTATAAGTACTGTTTCATTCTCTAACAGCTTTTAATATTTTGTTCTTGTATTGAATTTCTGGGATCATGATTATTATATGTCTGGGTGTAATTTAGTTTGGTTATGGCTAGTTGGAGTTCTATATGCCTCATGTATCTGCATGCCAGACCCTTTCCCTATGTTTGGGAAATTTTCTGTTATTACTTCTGTAAATAGCCTTTTTATTTCATTTGTGTGAACCCTGCCTTTTCACTTGTATCTGTCACTCTTAAATTATTTTTCTTTGTGTCATTTTGTAGCCCTTGAATTGTTATTTCTTAGTTTCTTGTTTTTTAAGAGATCTTTCCTTTTACGATCGCTAGTTGTAACCCTGTCTTCAAGTCTATCTTCAGTCTCTTTCAAGCAGTTTTGCCAGCTTTTGGTTTTTTAATTTCTTGGATTTCTCTTTGAATCTGTTTCATGCATTGTAATTGCTTCTTATATGGTTCATTCAAGGTTTCCATCATTTTTCTATGCTCTTTTTAAAATCTATGTCTTCTTTAGATATGCTGAGCAATTCTTTCATTATGTTTGTGATTTCTTCTTTTACTCAAGTCATTATTACTGACCTGATTACTTTTACAGTCTCATGAAGTTGTTTCCTTACTTCAGTTGCTGTCCTCTCAGATTTCAGGTGTGTGACTTCCATTTTCTTCCATGTCTTGTCTCCCGACTTGTTCTCTGTGGGCTGGAGGTCTGAGATTGCCTTTTGCTCCTTCATCTTGACATTCTCTTGGGTTCCCCCCAAGCTGGTTGTGGGGTCCCAGGCCCGTCTCACATTGGCTACCCCTCCAGGGATTAGGGGAATAAGACAGGCACCTGGGTTTCTCTGAACTCAGGTTCCCAGCGCAGAGGGAGGGCATGAGGGCGGGCTTCTCCAGACCTGTGCAGCTACACTGGGGCTCCCCCAATGGCCAGGGGTGCATGATGGTAGGGCTGCTTCTCTCAGCCTGTGTGTCTACACCAGGACTCTCTCGATGGCAGACACACAGGGGTGTGTTTGTCTGATTCTCTCTGTGGATGCGGACTGCCCACAGGAAGCAGGGTCTCCGTTGGAGGCTGGTAGGTGCATGGGGCTTACTGGGTGTGTCTCCCTGCCCTCTCTGGCTGCTCGTGGGAAGCAAGCCTTCTGATGGCGGCAGCCAACAAGCAGAGTGGATCTGGCTGCGTCCCCCTGCTGGAGCTCAGTGCCTTTATTTTATAGAAAAAAATAGAACTATATTTCTTAGCGTAATAGAATAACAATAGAAAATATATTGAGTACTGTTATCTTTAGAGTAGTTACTCAGAGTACAAGATTTGGGCATAAAAAATTCTCTAAACCATATTAGCATAAACTTTTCAGTGAACTAAGAGAAACTGTCAGTATACCTGTCTTGTATTTTGCTTTCTTTTCTATTTCTTCCTTCCCTCTTGGTTCCATCCTAGTTCTTTTTACCTTTCGAAAAATTTCTTCTCATTTCACAATGTCTGTTGCACATTTTGAACCTTATTCCTTCTTCCAGTTTATCACACCAGGGAGACAATACAATGTTTATGTGTGTGATTTTGATTTATTTCACTTATGAGTATGGTCTCTGGTTGCATTCATTTTCCTGTAAAAGCCTCAAGTGTATCCTTCTTTATGACTGCATGGTACCCTGTTGTATAAAAATACCACATCTTTTTGTCCATTCTTTGGTTGATAGGCATTTGAGTTGTTTCCAAGACTTCATTCTTACAAACTGTGCTGCTGGAAAGGGTGCACATATATTTCTGTGATCTGATGTTTTTAATTCTTCTGGAAAGATAACCCTAAAGAGGAATAGCTGGATCAAATGGGGCCTCTAATCCTAGTTTTTTGAGGAATCTCCACACTGATTTCACAGTGGTTGCCCCAGTCTGCACGCCCACCAACCGTGGAGAAGGGTTCCTTTTTCCTCACAGCTCCTTCAGCATTTTAGGGGAGGTTGTTTTTTTTTTTTTTGGTACCAGGGATCGAACTCACGACCTTGTGCTTGCCAGGCAGGCATTTGTGCCACTAAGCTAAACCCTTGGCCTAATAATAATCTTAAGATCAGAAATCATCAGTATATAGCTGCATTCATAAATTTTTTTTTCTTAAAATAGAAATAAAACTTTGTAAATGGGGAAAGGGATGGAAGGGAAGGCAGGGGAATGGGAAAAAAAGCATCAAGTTCTGTCATATAGAATTACAGATTCTCTGTGATGAATGTGATCATTGTACCTAAAATGTACCATTAAATCTAATTGGAAAAAAAGGTTTTCTCTTTGTTCTTTTTTGGGAAAGGGGGAGGCCTGTGTTGTGTTGTGTTTTGTTTTGTTTTGCTTTGTTCTGTTTAATGGTGTCGGAAATCAAACTCAGGACCTCACGCTTCCCAGGCACGTGCTGTGCCACTGAGCTAAATTCCCTGCCTCAGCACTGGGTTTGCTGGTGTTGCCCAGACTGACCTTGAACTCCTGGGCTCAGGAGATCCACGTGCCTCCCTGTCTGGCTTAAAAACCCCTAGATGACTGTAGAGGTCGTTACCCAAGAACTAGAATTGTCTTGGTTGAGTCATACAGTGGCTGCCAACATGTACTGTGCTGTGGTCACTTAGGACAGGGCTCTTGATAGGGGATGTGAGGAGAGGATGATGCAGGAGGGAGGCTGTGCCTGGAACAGAGAAAGGGCCAGGACAGGAATGTGCTTTTCTTTCTCCTCGAGGCTCTGGCCCTAATGAAAGTGCACAGGAAAGAGCCAGGTGTGGTGGCTCATGCCTATAATCCCAGCACTTGGGAGGCTGAGGTGGGAGGATCGTTGCGAGTTCCAAACCAGCCTGGGCTATAAAAGTGAGCTCAAGGCCAGCCTGGACTACATAGCGAAACCCAGTCTCAAAAAAGACAAAAAAAAAGAAAAATAAAAAAAAATAAAATGCACAGGCAGCGTGCACTGACAGAGGAGATGCACTTTGCTGGCCTAGCCAGTGACCTCCTGCACACACGGGCACTGCTACGGCACTCACAGCCATCCCTGTGCCTCCATGCTATGCTTTTCTTTTATAGTTTTTTCTCAGAGGCAGGCTCTGCTGCCTGTAGCATCTTCTCAATCCTCACTGTCTCCCTCTCGTGTCTTGAAGCACTGAGGAAAGAGGGCAGTCTCTTCCCTGGAGCATTTGTCTGGGCCTGTGCCCCCATTGGGGTGTACAGCTCCCGTCTGCAGGGCCCCCTCGCCTGCACACTCAGCACGGAGCCCTGTCCCTGGGTACCACAAACTGCTTATTTTCCTCACCTCCCATAGCAGGTTAGTTTTGCTCTCAGTGAGCAGCTGTACTGATGCTTGTTTCTGTGTTGGTATTGGTGATGTGAGGGCAGCTGCTCCCAATTTCCTCAGCCTGGCGACTCACTACTGTAACCCCACGGAGAGCTTTCCAAGTCCGTGAAATCCTAACCTTGAGAATGTCTTCATTGCAGGTGGAAAAACTGGTGGATCCGGGGGATCCTCACGCTGACCATGATCTCTCTGTTCTTCCTGACCATCTACATGGGGTCCTTCATGCTGATGCTGCTGGTGAGTGGCTCGTTTTCCGCCCTGCCCTCCGTTTGATGTCTCAGCATTTACATGACTCAAAAAACGGGAGCGTGTCATTGAAAAGGTCATGACATGGACTCATCCATGCAGTGTCCCTTCCACAGGGAGCAAGTGCACGTGATAAACACACATCTGCATGTCACATGCTAAACATCAGGTGTGACAGAAACACATGCCCAGCTTTACCACATATGTGACTGTAACCAGATCCCTGACTTGGAAAGAACACAGCAAGTGACAGACAGATAAGCAGGGAAGTAGAAGGAGAGAAAGCCCCGTGACACAGCACGTTGGGAGATCCCAGGAGAAAATCTAAAGGAGGGCGAGGACCGGCTTCTGAAAGTGATGCACATGCTGAGCTCAGAGGCCAAGGCAGAAGGCGTGCCAGGGCCGGCCCCTGGGCAGCACCAGAGACTGTGAGAGGCTGTGGTTCCTGGAAGGTGGCGGGGTTGAGGAAAGAGTGTAGAGAAGCCACTCAGGGCGTCTGGGATCTTGTCATTACAGAAAACCCAGCAAGTCGGTTAACAGGTGTCTGCAAGATGCCAGCTGCATGGTATGCTGGGCCCCACCCTGGGATTAGCAGAGGGAGCCTAGTGAAGTGGCCTGTCCGTGCCCCCGTGGAGCTTGCTATTGGTAGGGAGTTGGAGAGACACAGAAAGTGCAGTGACATCTGAGAGGAAAGCGTAGGTCCGGGAGCACCTTAGCTGCAGGGGGAGGGTGATGGGGGTAGAGGTGGGGAGAAGCCTGGGGAAGCAAGGTCTCTGCTGACCAGGGGATACACCTGCAAGGGCCACAGTGATGGAGCCAGGCAGTGGGTGACAGCAGATTCAGCTCCTTTAAGCATGCCGCACCTCCAAGCCCAGCAGGGGCAGCAGGAATCATGGCATGCGTGGGGGGGCGTGTGCCAAGCCCCACCCCCACCCCCCACCCCGCACAGTGATGAGAGCTGAACATAATGCTTTGTTGGTATTATTACTACCCAACACTGAGCTGGGAACACGGCCAAACATCTGCTTCCCCAGCTCTACCCTGCCACAGCGGCGCCCTGCACCCTGGCCCAGCCGGGCTGGCCTTTCCGTGGTTTTGCCTCGCACCTACCCGCCTGCTTGTTCTCGGGCTGTGTTTCCCACCTGAGAAATGAGTCCTTCCCTCATCACCCTCATCATGACAAGCTCTCCTTGTTATTTTATGAGCAATTAGTTGTGCAGCAAAAGCAGACCTGACACAGAGCTCACTGCTTCAGGATACCTGCAGGTGCCTCAGAGCCCTTTTTACTTTGGAGTGGCCGCAGCACTCACCTCTCCATCCCTGCAGCTGCCGGGCCTGGGGCCGCGGGCACTTCAGGAGCTGCACGCAGAGCCCTTCCTGGTGGACTGAGTGACCGTCAGCTGCCCAGAGAAGAAGGCACTAGGCCATGTTGCAGAGGCCAGAGCCTTCCGGGGCAAGGGGGCAAGGGTCACCGCAGACAAGAACCCAGCAGCCAGGCCCTCTGGGAGAGGAGCCCAGGCTTTCAGCCTGGAGGGACAGATGAGGGCCAGATTCTGCCAGACCTCAAAACAACCATGGGGAAGTTTGGTTTTTACTTAGTGGAAAGCACTGAGGAGCACTGCAAACCTTAGAGATCATCAGAGTCACTCCCCACGGGGCAAGATTGTGACCTGAGCAACATACACATAGCACCAGGGCCGGGGCGCTGTGACATGGGTGGCCTGGTGGTCTCACTGCTGTACCCACAGTGTGGTGTCTGGGGCAGGGCTGCATGGCTGGAGACTGATTTAGCATCTCTTGTGACAAAATTCAAAACAGCTCAGAGAATACTCAGGCACATTTAAATTTTAATACTTTAAAAGACAGCCCTGAAACTCCGTAGTACACTTGGCTTTTTAAAATCTTTTTGTACTGTGAAAAATATACTTTCATGGTAAGGTATTTACTTCAGTTGGTGAGTTCAGTCAGAGAAGAAAATAAGAATGTTAAAGGTCTATATAATACTTGAACTGTTACCGATTATTTAAGTTTATTGCACATAATATATGCATACACATACTATTTTCTATGATATGTATGCTAAGGGAGTAGGAATAACATGTGGAATTTGGTACTCAACGCATACTGTTTTAAAGTCCTTTTTCCTATTCATATCAATGATTGATCATTTACATTTTGAGAAGAACATACTACCCCAAGCTTGCAGCTGCTGTATCATGTCAGCTCTCGGTAATGACTAATTCATGAGAGTGTCGTGAAAAGCATCCTCGTAGAAAGTGACAGCTCCTCTCAGAGGGACTCTTTAAGAAGAGCGTTGTACTTACTTGGTGACAGTTCCTCAGTTGATGCATTCCCAATTTAGAATTACACTGGGTGATGTAGCTATTCAAACACATTTGGATTTAAAAGCAGATGTGAGTTTATAAAAGAGACTGCAAGCCAGGCGTGGTGACACTCCTGTAATCCCAGCACTCAGGAAGCTGAGGCAGGAGGATCATTGCAAATTCGAGACCAACATGGGCTACAAAGTGAGCCCAAGGCCAGCCTGAATCACACAGCAAGAGCCTGTCTCAAAATGACAAAATAAAGGAATAAAATAAATAGAAGATACTGTAAGTAGTTCTCCCAGTCTTTTTGGAAACTACCATAAAATTAAGTAGATATTATTTATTTTCAATCAGTCTGGATTTTTTTTTCCATTGTGAGAATTGAACAAGTACTGTATATTATTTTTGCAAATAACTAATTTAGGGGCTAGCGATTTAGCTTAGCGGCATAAGCACCTGCTTTGCAAGCACATGGTCGTGAGTTTGATCCCTGGTACCAATAAAAAAAAAAAAAAAAGAAAAAGAATTTTAAAAATGTTTACAGTCTTTGGTACTGGAGGTTGAACCTAGGGTCTTTACACTGAGCTACATCCCTGCATCCTTACAAGATTAGTTTTGTAGAAAGATTCCCAAAGTAAAACCTGATACTTGTGTTTGGCTACTCCAGGATCACTGCAGTTTGTACTCAGAATGCCCCAGTGTCCATGTGCCTCCCACCCGGCCACCCGCCTGCATCTGCGTGCTCTCTTCAGCCTTTCTTGGTGGGATTCTCTGTTTCCTTCAGTCCCCATCACCCAGCCACACCAGGACCCACCTCTTCGGCAGCTTAAATACAGGGTGCTGGCGCTAACTGGGGAAGGACCTCGCGTGTCTCTGGTTGCACCACTGTGGCCACCTCAGGGGCCTGAACTGATTCAAAGTGGTTCATTTTCATGCTCATTTTGACTTGGGAAGAGCAGAAGCAGTGGTGCCAGCTGCCGTGTGTAAGGTGGCTAGGAGAAGCCTGACGTTTCTGGGCGTCTCTTTTTCCCCTGACTGGTCTGGGCCACAGTGGTCACTGCGTTCTTGCTCATCCTCAGGGCACTCACAGAAGAGGATGTCAAAGTGTTTCAGGAAGTAGCCCTGGGAGAGAGGAGCATGGGAAGCACGGCAGAGGGCTCTGGGGGGATCCCTGCCATGTGTCTCGCCCTGTAATGGACACGCTCCCTCACACTGTGGTCGTGCCTTGGACTTTGTCTTCCAGCCTGTCCAGTCCTGGTCTGCTGCTCACTCAGTTCATACTCAGTGGGCCTGTATCACGTCACTGGCCTGTTCTCACGCCCTCCCTTCCACACCCAGGCCCAGTGCTGTCCCCACCCCACCTGTTGTTGGGGCAGCAGTTGTCCTGGCAACCCCACACTACCTCTCACTTGCTGTGTTGCGTCACAACCTGCACACACTCACCCCCAGGGCCCAGCACGGCCATCCCATCCTGGCCACAGTGTGCATCCAGGCATCAGCGGTTGGCTGTTCCGCTGTGAGCATCCTCCTTGGAGACACAATGCCCTGTGCATCTCTGCGGGTCCTCAGGGCCCAGCGGAGTCGGAGGTAGAGGGGTGACTGCTGTTAGGCCCTGGAGACGCTGCTGAGTTCTGCAGAGTACACGTTCTCAGTATCACGCACAGGTGACCCTCGATGTGCGATCACCTTGCCCTGGATAATGCACATATGTTAGGGTTTTAACTCTAGTGCTTTGAGGTCCCAATTTTCGGTTTTCCCAGGAGTTTTATGCTAATTTTCCTTGCAAGTTATAATTGGTAATCATATAAATATACATGCTGTGAGAAGCGCCTTCTTCCCTGCCTCTGTGAGACTCAGGTGTGGTGCCGTTGGCTGTGCTGAAGCCAGTATTGCACCCGGGCATCGTCTCAGTGTACTTGGTGTTTCAGGGTCTCTTCTGGTCTATAAATACTATAGCATTGACATTTTATCTGAACACAGAGCACTGTCCTCCTGATTTTTAAAAATGAATTTTGACATTACACACAAAGGTTATTTGAAGAGCAACACTGAAATATCCTCTTGGCTTATGACATACTTAGGACTTTATACTACAGACTCTTTACAGAAACTGAGTGTGATATTTATCACATGGCTGAGGGAACACATTCACTTGTTAAGTACATGGTGGGACCCATGGTCAGTATAATGGGGAAGAGTAAGAATATCATGAATGGTAAGTTTCGGAAAGATGATTTGTGGAAACCCTGAAACTGTGAAGCATGTCCTCAGACTGAAATTTCTAAGCTTTTTCTGTAAAGGGTTAGATAGTAATACTTCTCTTGGACTATGGTTCCGCCACATGATTTTTTCTTTTTGTTTTAAAAACTCTTTAAAATGATGAAAGAAAAGAAGACTATTCTTAGCCCAAGGGCAATGCAATTGAGAGCCCTTGGCGTGTTCTCTGGAGTAAAGGGGTCCCCTGCATCCCCTCAGATTCTAAGAGCTGATGGCACGAAGGGTTTCACTCCTCACGTGTGCTTTTGGTCTTGGAACTGACTGGAGCCAACACCTAGTGAGATACTCACTGTGGAGGGGCTTCCACCCGATCAGTCGATGCGGCAGGTTGAAGGACTGTAAAGGCACCCTGCGCAAACAGAGGTGTGTAAGCTCCCTGGCCTGGCCTGGGGGAGGTGGCAGGTGGGAAGGCAGCGTATTCCTGTGGTTGCACTGCTCAGCTTGGTCAGAGCTACTGTTGGCTCCGCTGTGGGAAAGAAAAGACCATTCCTTCCCTTCCTGACTGGGTAGAGCTGTTCTACCTGTCTGTCTGATGGTGTGTGTGTCCTTTGTGAGTCTGTAGCGTATACAGCTGAAGGTAGCTGTACATACAGGAAACCTTTCATGGGTCATCACTTTCTCAGGTAACTCGAGACAAAATAAAAAAACTAGACCAAAAGCCTAAGACTCAGGAGTGATGGGTAAGGCATAGTAAAGTGACCAAGCAGCCCAGATCCTTGAACTTTTAGCTCCAGTGCTGCCTCCCCACCTGCAAAGCCCCCCCTCCAGGGCTTTTTGAATGAAGTTTTTTTTGCCCCTCTAGAGTATCACTTGATGTTAGAGACAGTGAGTACTGCGTTTTTGCTATTTTAGAATAATTAAAAATTAGACTGTAAAATACATGTGATAAGTTGCTTTTAAATGATTTCACACCAGTGTAAACATAAAGAAATAGGTGTTAATGTCTTATTGTTTCAGGTTCTGGGCATCCAAGTGAAGTGCTTCCACGAAATCATCACGATAGGTTACAGAGTCTACCATTCTTACGAGCTTCCGTGGTTCAGAACGCTCAGCTGGTGAGTGAGTGTGGGACCATTTCAGCTGGGAACGGGCTTCGTTTCTACAGTTTGTAAAAGGTGCAGCCTGGTTGGCCGATAGCCGTTCAGCTTCCATTATAGATCGATTTTGGTGAATGATAAAAGAATAGAAATTTTAAAAGAAGAAAATCACCTTTAGTACTCTCTAATGTGACTTTTTAATCTCTCTTCAGTCTTTGTAAAGATATCTAAACATTCTTTCTTTAAAAAATGTCAGTGTTGTATCAAACACATTTTATATACTTCATGATCATAATTTATCAGAAGTTTACTTATAATCTTTTGCTTTATTTCCCCTCAGTTGACATGAGAACAAGTAATTTAAAGTGTTAAATTGTTAAATTAAAGTGTTAAATTTCCCCTGTCCGCTGGTCCAGCCACAGCCCTCACCCTTGGGATCTCTCTGGCAGACTTTTCCTGACCCATCCTCTGTGCTCTATCACCAGAGTCTGTGGGGTCACCTCGCCCCGAGGGAGAACCACACCCCTCACCCTTCCAGAACGGGCAGGCAGGGGACAGGCGGCTTAGGGCATTTTACAAGGTGGCTCCTGGAGGGTTTGACCTGCTGCTCAGTCCCATCCTCCGGTGTCCTCCAGGGTACACTGCTCACCTGTGGGCAGTCAGAGCAAAGGGCCAGTGGGGACCCCATGCCTGTGGGGTGGTGGCAAGGTGGGCTGGGGTGATGTCTGGAGAGCTCTGTGTGAAAACTCCTTACAGCTGGGAGCGAGCGGGGAGGGGTTGGTTTCATTGTGTGTGTGTGTGTGTGTGTGCAATGAATGAATTAAAGGCATGAACTACACTGAGTAGATTGCTTTTGACTGATAGGGTTGAAATTAAAAATCAAGAAATAGTTCGGTGCAGTGTACTGGAGTTGTCCTTTGGAACTGTCATTGAACATCTGTTGAGTTTGAGGGGCGAAGGCTTCAGAAGTGAAAAAAGGTAACTGTCTGTCACTCCTAGGTACTTTCTCCTGTGTGTGAACTACTTCTTCTATGGAGAGACTGTTGCTGATTATTTTGCTACATTCGTTCAGAGAGAAGAACAACTTCAGTTCCTTATTCGCTATCATAGATTTATATCGTTTGCCCTCTACCTGGCAGGTACGTGGCGGTGTCTCTCTGTATCGGTAGCTATCATTTTCCATGCCTAGTTGTACTTTGCTCTTTATATTCATTATCTTTTTATTTGTTACATTGTAGTCCAGTCTTCTTTATAATTGTTTCTCATGTACAAAGCTATCGCTTCCATCATGGTCTTAAGTAGCACTTAGATCCTGAGGGTGGTTTAAAAAGTGCTTCATAAGCAGTCTTCTACAGCTTTGAAAACTTGCTTGTGCAAATGGAAGGAACTGTAAAATATATAGTGATGACTAAACTATAAAGAAACCTTGATATATATATCAAGAGAAGCAAAAGGGAGCCCACAGAGAGCAAGCACTTTGTCCTAGAAAACAGAGCTTCCATATAGAATTGGCATAATTGGTTTTCCTGATGTGATTTATTGAATATGCAGCTTTGTTTATCGTGTGCTATACCACATGTTTTCATTCTCACAGATTAAAAATCAGGTATCTAAACCAGATGTAGTGGTGCATGCCTATAGTCCCAGCACTGGAGGCTGAGGCAGGAGGATCCTTGCAAGTTTGAGACCAGCAGCCTAGGCTCCTAGGCTACAGAGTAAGCTCAGGCCAGCCTAAACTCCATAGCAAGACCCTGTGTTAAAAAAAAAAAATCAGATATCTAGGGTAAAGTTAGTGTTAACATTTCTTCTCTGTAAAATTTTGCCAGTTGTAAAAGAGATCTCTAAGAAGTACATTTTAGATGTCATCTTCAAAGGCCAGGGGAAATCCTAGCTCTGCCATGTCAAGTAAAACCCGGGAAATTTCATTCATCCCTCTGACCCTTAGAGGTAATATTTGTTATCATTATTATTATTTTCACTTTTAAAGAAGGTAGTGCAGTGTGCTTATGAGTGTTTACTTCCCCTGTGCCCATATGCCCGGCTGCGTGGGCCTTCCACCCTCTGCCCTCTGCCTGAGATGCAGCAGGCCAGGGTTTGTGTCCTGTGTTGCTTGTAGTGGCTTCCTGTGAGATTCACACAGAGGGTGACTGACTAACACTCTCCCATTTCTGGAGATACAGAGTCGCTTGCTTCGGCTGGGCTTGGGCGTTCTCCTAGGGCGCCAGCCTTTGCCCATCTTGGTCTTCTCTGTTCCTAGACAGCCCCTGGCACTGCCCGGGTCTGTGTCTCCCAGCTTAGTTCTCTCTGTTCTTGTGGATTTTCACCTTCATTTTTCTCAGGGCTATCAGCACAATACGACAGGGTGACAGAAATAAATGTCTCACTGTTTGCTTTGCCCTTGGCCTAACCAACTTACCGGTTTTTCTCGGAGCTGTGTACCTTGGCTGGGCTCCACTGTTCTCTAATCCGGAGCTCTCCTGTCGCGTTGGTGAGATAGAGGCCACTGCTAAAGTCACTGTATGTCCTGAGTGGGCCTAGCACCCAGGGAGGTCTCCCCACCCAGGCACAGGCAGGATCCACACACACCCCAGCGCACACACCTGTGCACAGCAAAACGTCAGACCAAGGAAATGCGCAGTGATATCACCTTGCCGCTTCCTGACTGTACTGCTGGCCCAAGATTCCTCACAGTACTGCAGAGCTTTCTGAGGCCGCTGTCCTCCCCTTGCCCTCTCTCTCCTCCCTCCTCTTGGTGTCTGTGGACAGGTCTCTGCACGGCTCCATCCGGCTCGCCTTTCCTGTCTGTAGCTCGCCTTTCCTGTCTGTAGCTCGTCTGCCCTGCTGTGCTGTGATATTTGCTGACAACCACACCAGCACACAAAGTGACACTTCCTCAGCTTCCTTTCCCTTTGCGGTGGCCATAATCAGTCCTTGAGAATCACTTCTCCATTTGGTGGGGACGGACAGCACTGTTTCACACCTCTGAACTGCTAGGAAGGAATCAGTTCTTTCCTTTTCCCCCAGTAGTGCACTGGTTTCTGCTGTATTCACATGTTGCCCTCCTGACTTAGGCTCACTGGGCCACGGGAGCTTGCTGGAGTCAGGCACTGAGCACATTTGTGGGTGCTGCGTAGGGCCAGGCAGAGTGTGGGTGCCGAGGGTGTCAGGTGTCAGAGCAGCACCAGGGCTTCTAAGTCCCCAAAGCTGTGAGGCCCACGCCTGCTAGTTCATTTTTGCACAAGGACAAGGGTCATCAGGGGCACGGAGCAGGGAACAAAATCCCTGCTCTAATAGGGGAGAGAAGGCGGAGAAGCCTTGGAGAAGACATGGCAGGTACCCTACAGGGCAAGCAGGACTGTGCCCGGAGGATCGCAGCACAGGGCATTCCAGGAGTGGGCAACAGCTATGCCAGGTGTGGGCTGAGAGGGGCGCATGTTTGGGGCCAGCCATAGGCATCAAAGGCGGAAGTGCGAGTAGGAGCCATTGATGGTGCCTGAGAAACAGCTTGGACCTTGTCCCTGGGAAATCTTTGGAGGATTTTATGTTACGGGATGATGATCAGATCCGTGATTGAGAAAGGATGGGCTGGGAAGCTCCTGCTGGAGGCAGGAAGCTCCTGCTGCAGTTCAGACGGACAACAGCGGGGCCGACTGCTCTTAGCACCAAGCAGACATAAATGAGAGAAATAAAGCTACCGTGAGCTGATCTTAGAGGCAACTGCTATGTATGAGAGTCTTGAAAAATTGCTTTTGTATTCCTTTAGTGGAATAAAATACAGGTTTTTTTGTTTCTTTGTTTTTGGGGGGTTTTTTTGGTCTTTTTCCTTTTTATTGGTACCAGGGATCAAACTCAGGACTGCCTGCTTACAAGGCAGGCGCTTATGCCACTGAGCTAAATCCCCAGCCCCAAAATACAGTTTTTAATTGAGGTAATTGTGTTGTTCACAAGCAGTCGTGTGAAATACTAATTCCCATTTAGTTTGCCAATTTTCTATCATTGGTAAAATTTTACAAAGCTATACCATCACACAAGAAATCAACATTATCAGCCTTAAGAATATACTCCTAAAATGCAGCCTCCTTGGAAACCAGAAAATGTGGGTTCAGGGATGTAACTTTAAATACAACACAAGCGCTGGATTCTGTGTCTTGTGTCAGTTTAAGTGTGACATGAAGGAGCTGGAGATTTAGCTCAGTGGCATAAGCGCCTGCCCTGCAAGCAGGCAGTCTCGAGTTCGATCCCCGGTACCAATTAAAAAAAAAAAAAAAGTGTAGCATGAAGATGGCCCTGTTAGACCATCAGCACCAACTGTGTCTCTGGTCCCCTTCATTCCCGGGCCTCAGTGTGGACCTGGCACTTAGGTTCCTAGCCACATCCCTTGGATGAGGGACTGGAAGGCTGAGGAGTGCACGGCCCGCACAGACCACTCTAAGGATGTCTCCTTAGCACCCCAGTTTGTTTGCTGCCTCAGGGTGGCTCTGGGATGATGAGCAACACCCCGAGCTCAGGCCAGCCGATTGCTGCTGGACTTGAAGGCTGGTGTGAACAAGCAGAGCACAAGCTACGTTGAGGTCTGTGTGCCTTGCACATTGCATTGTGGAAACTTTTGGAAGTTTCTGTTAAGTAATATTCTAGAGGTCTTGTCAAAAGTGCATTTTCCCGTAGTGGTCAAAGGAGTTTGGAAAATCAGTAGTTTAAAAGCAGGCAGCCCACACAATTTTGATGGCATTGAGTTCTACTAAAATAAAATGTAGATGTCTCTGAGGCTGACACCTCATCAGGGACCATAGGATGAAATGCTTGTCTCCTGAGATCTCAGGTGATGAGGACTAGGGTGTAGAAGTCACTCTTACATTTAGATAAATTTTGTAGAGTTAATTAGACCAAAAGCAGAGAAAAAAGCTAGGGAGACTGAACCTAACAAGGATTTTTCTCTAGACTCCCCCCTCCTTCCCCTTCCCCTTCTTCTTCCTCCCTCCTTCTCTTTCTCTCTTCTCTCTCCCTCTCTTTCTTCATATCTACCCCACACACACATGTATGTCCAGTGGATAGCAGTGTACTTGAGGTCCAAATATATCTCTCTTCATCAGTTTAGTGATACGGATTTGGTTCCGTAGAAGTCAGAGCAGCCATGAGCAGTGATGACTCATTAACTTCAGGTATTTGATCCATAAACTCATCTCTACCCATTTTGCGTAATATACATACTGTGTTTAACAAAGTTTTTCTTGCATTTATGTGAGCATGGCTGTTTTGATTTCTTGGCATCCATAAGGAGAGGGCAGGACTTGAATATAATGCTTTTGATTTGAGAACCTTACATTTGATGGACATGTAAAATTAACTTATAGCTAAAGTTTTGGATTCATGCACCTGGGGGGGGGGTAAAAAAAAAGGTTATAGCTAAAGTTAATATGTAATTAAGATTTTCCTCAGGCATTTTTGGTATCTTTTATACTGGAGGATCTAACAGTCTGTAAAGTCTGTATGCAGGCTAGTGGTCCAAAATGCACCTCAAACTCACCATTCTGAGCACTGTTTTGGTGGGGAGCTGACCTGCAGCAAAATGATAGACATTCACCCAATGCAAAGAGCGTGGGTTCCCTCCCCACATTGCAGAACAAAACAAAACAAAACAGTGCTACTGATGTAATGCTTGGTTTGCATGACCAGGTATACAGTACATGTTAACTTAGAACTTTTTGTATGCAGCTCAGTTATAATCTAGTATTGGAATAAATCATGCCACATACTGTAGCATGATTCTGAATTTATTAAATATGTTGTTAGGAATTTATAGAGTTTTAATGGTATAAGAAAGTGTCATGAAAAATGTAACCAAGGAAAAAATGAAGAAGGACGGTGGGTGTGGAAGCACACAATTTTAATCCTGGCAATCTGGGTGGCTGAGGCAGGAGGCTCACAAGATTAAGGCCAGCTTGGGGCCACGTGCCAGTTCAAGGCTAGCCTGGACTATATTATATAGTGAGCCCCTCTCTGCATCTCAAAAAAAAAAAATTGGTAAGCTCTACTATTTAAATCTGGGTCTATCCTAACGGTTAGTGTTGGAATTGAGGACTAATGCGTCTACTGAGTTTGTTAATCACTAATAATAAAATGTAACTGTATTTCTTCTAAATAGACTTCAAGTTCTTGAATAGCAGTGCCTATCTTACTCATTTTTGTGTCTTGTGTCTAGCACTATATAAATGTTTGGTAAATGTTTTTTATCATTTTTCCACTTTTCTGAATTTCTCTGCATCCTATCTGTCTTACTTTCTTGTTGCTGGGACAAAATACCTACCACCCACGTGTTAAAGGAGGGAGGAATCATTTTAGCTCACAGTGGTAGGGTTTTAGTGCAGAGTTGGCTGGCTATGAAGCATGGTGGCATGGCAGAGAAAAAGCAGTCCATGGCAGGGCAGGCAGCACGCAGCTGAGATTTTCCTCTTCCCATTTTTACTCCATCCAGGCTACGAGCCCTTGGTTGGTGCCACCCACACCAGACGGGGTCTTCTCTCTTCAGTAAACCCATTGTCCATATCCAGACGTATCAGTCAGTGTTTTACCAGACAAATGGATATAACACAAGACACAAATGATAGGAATTCATAAGACTGCCTTGGAGTGGTCACCCAGAGTCAGAAGAGGAAGCATGCAGAGGCTGAAAGATTCAGTCCAAGGTTTGAAACCCACTGCAGTGTCCCACGTGAGAACAGATGAGCTGCTGGGTCTGCGATAGAAGGCTGAAAGGCTGAAGGATCTGTGCCGGAAGTCAGAGTCTGCACCGGAAGTCAGGGTCTGCACCGGAACTCAGTCTGCACCGAACCCTGGAGATGGTGTCCAAAGTAAAGGTGAAGACGGGAGCTCCTCTGAAGAAACAGAAGCCACGCCATTCTGCTCCATTTCCCCTCTATACTATCTGGCAGGGGTGTGGCATTGCTGAGCTGATTAGGTGAAGCTGCTCTTAACTAAACTCAAGTTAACATAGTCACTCAGCAGTCACGCCAGACCTCTGCTGTACTAGTGACACACCCACGATGCCGCCCCCTCCCCATGGGTCCACTTACAGTGCCTGAGGCTTTGGGGCAGGCACATCTAGATACAAGCCACAAAAATGTCTTTTACACTTTTCAGTATTTTGGGCTTTTCCCTGCTGTACTTCTGGTTTTCTTAGCAACATCATTCTTTATTTGTTTTCTAACACACTTCTCGTTAGCCTCTTGGGTAACAGGCTTTCCCTAATGGCCCGGGCCCCTCATGCCGGCCATGGAGTGTCCTCACCTTTGTTTCAGCAACACCAGGTACAGAATCTATGAGTGATGGTCAGTGGTTTCACCAGACATCATTAGATCCTAATAGCTGCACACCAGGAAGCCTTTTTCTGCAAGCGCTATCATTTATAATATTGTAATTTTAACTGGAAACTTAGCTATGCAAATATTATTCTTTAGGAAAAGAGTAAAATGATGTGGACCCAAAAGTGTAAATTATCCTGTCCACAGATGTGTTAAAATATGGTCTATATGCATTTTTACATACCAACCATAAAATAATCATATGGCTGAGAATGAAAGTGATTAATTGCCTATCTTTCTTGCTCAGAATTTTCTTCTTAAAAGTAATATTTAGCTTTAGATGTGCTAAGAAGCCATTTCTACTTCTTCCCCTACAGTCAGAGAAGTGCATTATCTTAATGTATTTAGGAGTCATAATTATATCCTATAGGAAAATTAGATAAAGTCAAAGTGGATTGCCAAGACTGTTCTGGGTAAAATATCTATTAATTCAATATTAAATGATTCTGCTGGAAATTTTGTTTGAAGTTCTGAAGAGTAAATGGTATTACTTGCAAAAAAGAGAAAGTCTTATATTTTAGAGCAGTACTTGTTAGGAGGAGATTCATAGGTAATGTGCTGGTGGTTCCTGGGGCCCCTCAGGAGCCCGGGGTCTGTTTGGACAGGGCACGTCTTGGGGTATCTGTCTGGTGTGTCTGCTAGCCTTTTCCCTGCTAAAGCCAGATGCATTCAGCTCCAGCCAAGAGCTTATGGCATAAAACCGTGTAGCAGTTACATTACTTGAGCTGCAAGACTACTTGCTGTAGAAGAAAAACTTAAAAGCAATAATTTTAAAAGGAATCTTTTATCCGGTTGGTAATTGCAATGCCGCAGATTTCATGTTTAATGCCTCCCTTCCCACATCCATCTTCTCTGTCTCTCTGTGTTTGTGTCTTCCCCTCTCTCCCTCTCCGCTTCTGTAATGGCTTTTGGTTCTGCCTGCACTCATGAAGTGTTTCTGTGTTGCTGCCGCAGTCCAGTGTAGAGCCAGAGAGGGGGCCTGAGGGGGAACTGAGACCAGTCCACCTTCTCTTCCTTTGCTCCTGCTTTCCTCGGGGACCTTTCAAATGAGTCACCAGCACACAACAGTGACATCCTGGCTTTGGGAGAGGAGTGGCACCCTTGCTCAGTGTATCAGATAGAGTCACCTTGGAAATAGAATGCAGGTGGCCAAGGTAGCACAGTGGACAGCTGGGTTCCTGTCTGAGAGAACTCATCCAAAGGTATTGCAGGACATGTGGTCACTGATCTAAAATTAGACCTGGTTTGTGCATTGTCAGTATCCCACTCTGTTAAAAAAAAAATTATAAAATAAGGGCTGGGGATTTAGCTCAGCGGCATCATAAGCGCCTGCCTGGAAAGTGCAAGGTCATGAGGTCAATCTACAGAACCAAAAATAAAGTGAAAAGCTCATCTTTAGACGTGCACTGCTGTATTGAGCAAGCAGTGCTTCCTGCTGCCTCTCATTATTTGAGTTTATGATTTGTTTCTTTTAATTGGGCAAGACTTTTTTTTTGGTACTGGGTATGGAATTCCCAACTGTGTGCTTGCAAGGTAGGTGCTTATACTACTGAGCTAAATCCCCAGCCATGGGCGAGAATTTTTAATTCAGTAGATTTTCATTCTAATAAAACTTACAGGACACAAACTCAAATTCTGGTGGTAAATCTTGAAGTTATTAAAAGTACTGTATTTTACTATAATTATTGTAATAATATCATCCTGAGAAATGTTGGTTGCTTCTCACCTGAATCTTGCTAGGTCTCATAGCTCTCCAAACCCCTGATTGTCAGTAAGTTAACAAAACCCAGCCAGGTATGGTGGCATATACCTGTAATCCCAGCACTTGAGAGGCTGAGGCAGGAGGACCACCATGAATTCCAGGCCAGCCTGGACTATATAGTGAGTTCAAAGCCAACCTGAACTGCATCATGAAGCCTTGTCTCAAAAAGATGAAGAAACAGAGTTAACTGAATCCTGGGTGCAATTTTCTTTCCCTGTAAAATGGAGTGACAGGCTGCGTGTGGCAGTGCAGGCATGTAATAACTCCAGCTCTCAGGAGGTTGAGGCAGGAGGATCGCTGTGAGGACAAGGCCAGTTTGGACTATGTGGTGAGATACTGTCTCAAAAACAAAAACAGAGTAACAATAGGTACCCAGATCACAGATGATGAAATGCATTAATATGTGTGAAACACTTAGAGAAGAGCTGAAACTAACGTGTTTGGTAGACATCACCTGCCACAGTAGTTGTTAGCAATTTCTTACTGAGGAGAGATCAAGAACCCTGCACACTCTGGCTCAGTAGACCCTTCCAGCTTCTTGCCTGTGTGCGTGTGTTTTCCTGAGCTGGAGATGGAGCCTAGGACTCCACCCAAACTGCGCTGTACCTCTAGCTACTCAAAGAATTGATGGAGCAAAGAAGTTGTATTCAGCTGAGAATTCAGGACCTATTTTCCATGCCTGCCTCTTAGCAGGGGCCTGATTCTTGTAGTGAACGCAGGAAATGTTTACTGAGTTTGAACCATAGGACATGCTAGGCCCTCTGCCAGGGTGAGGCTGTTTTGCCCTGGAAACCTGCTTAATGTGAGGTGGTAGGAGAGACAGCATTCCAGTAGCAGTGTGCCTAGACAGGATGTGGGAATTGGTTCACTTACACTCAGGGTGTCTTACGCTGTGTACCTAATTGCAAAATATGCACATGTTTTTGTTTTTGAACAGGTTTCTGCATGTTTGTTCTGAGCTTGGTGAAGAAACATTACCGTCTGCAGTTTTATATGGTGTGTATTAACCTCGATCCTGTAGTCATCCTGTGTCACAAGCCCTAATCCCCTCTCTCCTTTTCCTGTGGTGAGATGGAACCTCCTCTGCGAGTTGAAGTCTTACTTAGCATGATTGAAGGGTGTTCCAGTTTCAGATGCCCAGTGAGTCAGAAGATTGAAGTTGAGACATTTTTGAGGACTTTTAAAAAACTTTTAACTGTTCTCAAAGTTTTGCTAACATTTTTTAATGACTAATGTTTTTTTTTAATGACAAAATTTTTAACTGTCCTCAAAACTTTGCTAAATTTTTTCCCCAATGACTAAAATTTTAAAAACCTATTTGAATTCCCTACTTGTGTAGAACTTTGAAGCATTTTCGTAGCCTCTGATGGTTACAGTGTCTGGGAAATAGCTCCATGTAGTTCTATAAAATACAGTAATTTACTTGGTTTCCCTTGCTCTGAGCACGGCGCCTGGGAAGCAGAGTGTGCACCTTCTCTGTAATTTTGGTTAGTCACAGGATAGCATAATTTTTCTGGCATAGGTATCTGGCTGAACGAGTCAAAGTCTATGTTTTATGGAATTTAGCTTTTTCTATTTCTTTAAAATGTAGCTACAATGTAGCATTTCCTTTAGATTTCTGAATTCATGTATTAGCAAGACTGGTCTTAGATTGAGATTATATTTCTGCTTTGTGCTTTGCTTTTCTGCATTAGACATCCTGCTAATTAGCACTGTTGGGAATTTATAGTACTTATTACTTCTCTAACTTCAGGGAATCTGAAAGTGAAGAGTAAAATTCTTAGTTAGAAATCTATAAATGATCAATCTCCTCTGCGAATACAGCCCTCCCTGGGAATCTCAGAAACTGGGTTTCAGGGCCCCATGAATCCAAAACCCATGGGTGCACAATGCCTGTGCATAAAATAGCGTAGTAATTTTGTGCAACCAACGTGTATACTCCTAGAGACTATGAATCATCTCTCGCTACTTATAATGCCCAGTATGTTGGGAAAGCTGAATAAATGGCTAAGTGATGGCCAGACGAGATCTCCCACACCTGTAATCCCAGCACTCAGGCTGAGGCCGCAGTTCAAGGCCACCTGAGTTAGGTAGTGAGTTCAAGACTGTGAACTGCATGGTGAGACACTGTCTCAAAAACCAGAAACCACACAGACAGATAAAATACAAAAAAGCTATGCTGTGTCATTCAGGAAATGATGCCATCTGTTGAAGGCATAAACCTGTGCAGATGCCCCCAAGTATTTTCAGTCCCTGGTTGGTTGAATTCACAGATGCAGGATTTAGGGACACAGAGGGCCAATACATGAATGTAGAAAACAGTTATTTGTGAGCCGGGCATGGTGGCTCATGCCTGTAATCCCAGCACTTGGGAGGCTGAGGCAGGAGAGGGAGGCTGAGGCAGGAGGATTGTTGCGAGTTCGAGACAAGCCTGGGCTATAAAGTGAGCTCAAGGCCAGCCTGAACTGTATAGTGAGACCCTGTCTCAAAAAAAGAAAAAAAAAAAGAAAAGAAAAGTTATTTGTGGATTTTGAAATGACAAGCATCAAAGAATTGGGTCTTTTATGTAAATTAAAACAATAAAACAGAACTACCTATATACATTATTATTTGCTGAAGTAAAGAACAGGTTTATTAAGGAGAAAGACAATTCCTAATTATTTTGAACAGTCATTTTACAAATTTTAGTCAAAATTCTGAGACGAGTACCTGGGAGCACTGGTTTCCTTTGGTTCCCATCCCAGTCCGTGATGGTGCTGAGTGGCTGATACGGCCAGCTGTCAGGCCAGGATGAAGGAGCACAGAGGTTTAGGAGCTGTGCCCCCGAACACTGTCATGGTACAGACCTGTGGGGATCAACTTTCAGTAGGGAAAAGATGGAGTTTAAGGGCAATGGACAGTGCTTCTACTCAGGAGGCTGAGGCAGGGGAAATCACAAGTTAAAGCCCAACCCTGGCAATTTTATGAGATCCTGTATCAAGTTTTATAGATAGGTGAATGGACAAAAAGACAGAAACACAGATAGGTCTGAAGATGAAGCTGAGTGGTAGAGAGGACTTGCCTCCCACGGATGAGGCCTTGGGTTCGGTCTCCCGCACTGCTAGATGTTGTTGGGGAAGCAGACTGCTCGACCCTACTGGTTTGAATCATTTCAGGTTAGAAACACCTCGGTGTAGGGAAGTGTTACCATGATAAACTTTGAAGTGTAAATAGTTTTTTAGCATTTTTTATAAAAACTGGAGGCTGCAGCCAGAGTAGAATAAACATTCGTCCCTAAACACCATGCCCCAAGCACCATAAATTTCTCCTTGTCGTTTATGTTGAGAGATTCAGACGGTTCACTTCTTCTCTGTGTTTTAACATGTGGTAGTGTGTTTCATGGCTAGCCTTCCACTTGTGTGTAACTTCAGATGACTTTGGTTAAAGATTCTCTCAGGCGACAGTGAGCCAGTTCACTAACTGCACCTCTTCTGGGGGCCTCTCACATCTCACAGCTGGCCCACAAGCCGGGCAGAGTGGGCCTTTCTGCGTTGCTCTTGCTGCCTCGGCTGGCTGCCACTGCGTCTGCTAACTTTTGTGTTGTTGGGCTGTTAACAGTTCGCATGGACTCATGTCACTTTACTGATAACCGTCACCCAGTCGCATCTGGTCATCCAAAATCTGTTTGAAGGCATGATATGGTAAGGGGACAACGTTCTGCTGTGTCGTACTTTGCTCTGGCTCCCTTGAAACTCCGTAACATGGGCAGTGTCTCACAGGTGTCCACCTAGGTGTACACCTGCTGTTCTCTAGTCCGTCAAAATCCATGAGTGTGCTAATGGTTTCACACCTAGACATGAAGTGCTGCACTAACAACTGGAAGTCCTCACAAAAGCTCCCACCAGTTACTTTTTCAGATACTAATACACCTTAGCATGACCTTTGTAAAGAACAGGCTTTAGAAAGAGTTTAGTATTAATCTGGACCGTGAGAAGCACACAGAAGTTTGCTCGTTACTGTGTATGTGTCAGCAGTGCATTTGCAGCATTTAGGGACAAATCAGGTGGATTCCCCTTCACTCTGTGAGAAGTGGACTTCTAGATTCCAGAGAGGCAGAGTGGCAGCTTACAGCAGGGTCATGAAGATTCAGAGCCTTTGTGCTGATTAAAAATTTTAAGCTTACTAGTTAAAGTTAAAGTTAGTTGGAATGAAGGAAAGGCTTTTAACATTTAAGAAAAGAATGATTGTATTCCCCCCACATTCATTTTAAGCCCATTAATTAAAATAATATAAAATTACTGGGCTTATTAGATAGAGTTTAGTCTTAGTCACATTTGTATGGAGATCCTCATGTGTGCCTGTGTGGATAAACAGTTGGCATCATTTAAGTTTGTCTGCCACATAAAAGCTTTCAGTCAGAGGGAGCAGTTTCTAAAACAATTAATTGGGATAAAACACTGGATAAAAATAATAATAATAATTTTTCCTAGAAGACAGTTTGCTTTAAGGATTTGGGATGAATTTATCAGCTGCTCTGTCTACACTGGTTGACCTATTTCCACTTTAAATGTTACTTTTCTTGAAAGAAATTTTATTTTTTGTAAGTTGTCCATCATACAACTAAGATTTAAATGTCCATAGCCATAGAAATTGATTAATATTTTCCTTAGCTGTATTGTCTTAGTATGTTAGTTTATTTATAGGTTGAGATCTACTTAATTGCTAAATGAGGAAATCTGGTCTGTTTATTGCCTGTTAATGTTTTGTCTCATGTCACGCTCTGGGTGGGCAGAAGAGTAACCTAAAGGCTTATTGTATTGGGTTATTTGGAGTCATAAGCCTGTATAAACATTCGCTGCTTACTCATATGGACTTTCTTCTGCTGACTTCTTTTTTAAAGGTTCCTTGTTCCGATATCAAGTGTTATCTGCAATGACATTACTGCGTACCTTTTTGGATTTTTTTTTGGAAGAACCCCATTAATTAAGGTAATGGAAAATGTTACATGCAAGTCAATGGAAAATGCTACATGCAAGTCACCCCTGTAACCTTAAAAATTAGCCACCAGAATCGTTTTCAACACTCAGCACTTTTCTTCTTTCTAAAATACCTTGATTTTCCCCAGTTGCACTAACAGCCCCAGCTAAGGACAGGGAACACATCTTCCACCAGCTCCATCTGGATCTTCTGCAGGCTAAAGGGGAACCACCTCGCTCCTCCTGTCTCCTGTAGGCCCCCCCCCCTCCGCTGGCTTCTTCCCATGGTGCAGCTCTTCCCCCAGCTGTCTCCCTAGCTATCCTTCCCTTTGCCAGAGCTTCTGGAAGAGTAAATTACACTATTTTCATGCACTCTGGTGCATCTGCACAACTTTTGTGCCCAAACTGATTTTTAAAAAGATCTGGGGGCCCTTGAATAATAAAATGCAAGTAATAAAAGGTTAAAGTTAGAGAAAGAAAACTAAAAGTAGATTGTTGCCATAGATTTTGGTTGTATGTATGGTCAGTGGGGGCAAAGAAAGAAAAGGAATATGTTAGCCAGCCATGGGAGTGCCCACTGTGCTCCTGGCACTGAGGGAAACTGAGGCAGGAGAATCTTAAGTTCAAGCCACTCCTGGACAATTTAGCAAGACCTGTCTCAGAATAATAAATAAAATGACAGGATGTAGCTGAACGGCAGAGTCCCTGGGTTTGATCCCCAGAATCATCACACACACAAAATTTGTTATGCAGCTATTACTTTGAGTAAGAAAGAAACAAGTTCTTTGTGGAAATTAAACCTTTGTCTAGAACTGCTTTTTCTAATAAAGAAGAGCTTTTAAGGTGGTGTTTCAAACAGGAGTTAATCCATGTATTGGGCAAAGTCTTCAATAATACCCCCACAGAAATATGGCACAGTTACTGTGATGATGTTATGTGGGGCAGTCTGGGCAGGGATTGAGCCTTGAGTCGGGTGTAGCACCTTTGTGTACACAGAGTGATGCAGGATAGCTTAGTGTTTGTGAAGACAGGAATGGACTGCTGTCCTTCAGGAAGTCCTCCACAGGTCTTTCTCTATCCCCCTGAAGAGCTGGGATGTAGCCCAGTGGTGGAGCCCTTGTCTAGCATGCCTGAGCCCCACTGGTTTCCGTCCCTAGCACCAGAAGAGGAAACACAAAACCAAGCAGCCTCTCCCTGCAGGAAGCAGAACAGCACCAGGCAGGGCTGTTGGGGTGCTGGCAGCAAGGTGACTCTGAAGCTGCTGCAGCACAAAAATAAACTGAAGTGTTCAGGGATTCTGCGTGGGCAGCTGTGGGCTTGGGGATCCTGCTCTGGGTGGACCTCGGCGGCGGATGTTGAGCATAGCTTTCTAGTGACATGGTGGGCTTGATTCTCTGTATGACACTTCCTGGCAACTTCCGAACTGATCTGATGTGGCTCAGCTCGATTTGATACATTATCTTTAATCAGCAGACACTAAAGTTTGTGATCACTGCTACTTTAGGCACAACAGAGGCCTGGGATTAGCTAGGAGGTCATGTATCCCTCCTGTGCACTCAGGCTTCTTAACAAATTTGTCAGGAAACCCTATCTGCAAACCATTGCAGTTTTGGGCTTACCAACATCAAGACAAAGTGCTCCCAAAGTTCACTTGTAACCCACTTCTAACCTCAGAAATTTCCCTCTGACGTTTAGCTTCTGTCAAGGAACTGATAATCATGAAGATTCTCAGTGATTTCTTGACCCCAGCCCTTGTTCCCTGCCAGAAGCTGGGGGCAGTTGGCATTGTACCCTGCTTCTAAATCTTTTCCTCCTGCCCCTGCATTAGTATTGCAGACTTTCTCTCTCTGAATGCCCCATTGACCGGAGAACAGTAGCTGAGCTCTGAAACAAACCGCATTTATCCTCAGAAGCACGACAAGGTCCTCCTTTCTCTCTAGAGACTGACATGGACGGGGAGGAGGGCATGTGAATACTTGGGGAACAAATACAGTGTTTGGGGCTGTGGCGCACCTCACCATTCGGAAAGAGATCTCAATGTGTCACATGTTAGGAATGCATGGAAAAGGGTGTTGTACTCTTTGGTCAGGAGCAGGTCAGCACAGACTGTGTACCAGAGTGAGTGTGTGTCATCCTTACTGCCAGACAAGCATGACCATCGTGGGATAATTATTTCACTCAACATTTAATCACCCCGTGAGGGGGTCCAATAATTTGACCATGTCGGAAACAAATGCAGCATGTCTGGTCCTTTTATGGGTTAGATACTAGTGAAGACATTTGCACAAGTGAAGCACACTCACAAGGTGAAGGAAAGAGATTTTTAAATGGTTCCAATAAGAAACAAGGAAGGAGAATGTGTAAGGATTGAGAAACTCTTTGCTCTGAGTTTGCATATCTGTTGGGTGTTTTATATGGGCAGTAACTTTTTAATTTTATTTTACCTTTTTTAGTTGTCTCCTAAAAAGACTTGGGAAGGATTCATTGGCGGTTTCTTTTCAACAGTCGTGTTTGGATTCATTGTGAGTTTCCCTAGGATTTTTATTTATATTTTTCAAATGAAAGTTTGTTGATTTTAAACCTTAAAAAATAAACCCTAGAATGCTAATCATGTACTTATTGAGACCTGGTACACAGAATCGGTTCTGCACACCAGAGTCACCTGGAGAGCTTAAACAAAACCAGTGTCCCTGCCTTGCCCCAGGATTGCTGGCTGCCTCCGGTGGCCTTGGTGGACAGCCTAGTCAGAGGTTCAGTGTTGTGCTGTTGTGTTTTGGGAGTTTATTATTGGGTGCTGGGACTGCGGGGTCTGAGTGATAGCCAAGTGCTCTCTTAATGCTTAGTACCCACGTGGCTCAGGGGGCAGTTGCTGCTGTGAACTAAACTTGCAGGAAGAGTCTGTAGATTATAAAATAATACTAACCTTAATCATACACAGTGAGGATTGTTCATGTTTAAAAATCAATAATTAGGGAGTTTCGGTAAGCATATATAAATGACTAGATATAAGTATACAAAAAATACCATTATGAAGTTTAAAACTTCAGTCTTGTCTCTGACAATGGTAGTTGTTATAAAATAGTATATACCAATGTGTAATAACTGGTTATAACATGAAGCTTTGAGAGACAGAGTAAATAATACAAATAAAGGGAAATGGGTCATTATCCTGGATTGGAAAACTACTATAATTCCTCCTTTTATTTTATAAATTCAGTTCATTCTCAGTGAAAATTCAGTAGGGTTTCATTAAATTACTCTGAAATATTTGAGGTAGAATATTGATAATAGTCAATAAATGGAATAATGAAAAATAGTCTAATCCTGTTTTATACACCAAAAATCCGGAATAATCAAAGCATTAATACCATTAGGATTTGGTATCATTAAAGAGTAATTTAAAAATACTATAGGAATATCTACGTCATTGGAAAAAAGTAAGTTACCCTGTAAGACGATAGCATATGACAAAATATTGAGGAGGAATGTTGTAATTTTCTTAAACAAATGGTTTTGAAGAAATTTGTTGTTTGGAAGAAAATCAGTTTATGTCCTAGAGTCATATTTGAGTTTCTGTTACCTTTTCATGAGCAAAATAATGGGGTGAAAGGCTGCAAAGGAAATACCAAACAGCGTAAACTGTTGCACACCGATTGAAATTTTAGGTGGATCCTTTGTTTTACACGGCTTTTACCTCCTCGACTGAGGCAGCTGGTTTAAGGGTGTGGCTAAGGAAGGAACAGTGAGTCGGTTTACTGGGCGGTGAGGACCCATGATGCTTTCCACCTGTGTCACTTTGCATTGCCTTCCTAGCAATTGTGAATCACTAGCTAATTACTGTTAACACGTAACTGAAGTTTGTATGCAGTAAGCTTAAATGTGTCTCTCCCCTATATGGTATCTTCCTGACTCAGTCCTTCATCTCGGTAGCTTCTAGTAAGAAGACACATACTTTTAAAAAGTCCTTACTATCGTGCATTTCCAAATTAGCTCCTTTCTGTGTCCCCTGTAGTCACACAGATCTCTTTACTCTCAAAAACCTCTTTTTATAAAGGTCTTCCAAGTTCTGTTTTATGCAGGGACATTTATTAGGATGACCCTGTAATGGTAGCCGTCCACGGCAGAACATTAAACCGAGAAGCTCGCAGGTCCCACGCATAGCCTTTCTGACACACAGCTCTGGGTCTGGGCACCGCTCACAGGCTCCTCCCTGTCGCCCAGGCCGCCTACGTGCTCTCCAAGTACCAGTACTTCGTCTGCCCCGTGGAGTACCGCAGTGATGTCAACTCCTTTGTCACCGAGTGCGAGCCCGCAGACCTCTTCCAGCTGCACAGCTACTCGCTGCCCTCCTTCCTGAAGGTGGTGCTGAGACGGGTAAGTGCAAACTCAAGACGCTGGCGGGTGGGGGGGAACCGGCCTTCAGGGACCAGGTCGCCTGTAGCTGGGAGGCCAGATTTGTTCCGGAAGCCACGTCCTGCGGAGCTCCTAACCTCATGGTGTCACAGTGGCTTCCGTGTCTGGTTACCATCAATAAAATGTTCTCCACTTGTGAGTTCTCTTTGCTACGCATGACATGAATTCAGAAGTTGTAAATCACTTGTGGACCCAGGATGTGCTTAAATATTGATGGTAATTTATTTTGTGTATTTTTTTATAATCAGTAATTTTTACAAATCAAATGAATTAGAATGAGTTTTGCAACGTATTGGTATGAATGAGCTCAATTTAAAACTTTTGTCAAAATTCACCATTCGAAGAACACTTAAATTTTACAGGCTGTTCATTAGCACAGGAAGCTTCTGCTTCTTGAAATAAGCTTTCCTCCCAGAAGCACACTGCTGCCATGCAAAGCACCTCGAGGTCCTCAGGAGGGCATTGACAAGCTCCCCAGTAGTGCTCTCCTGATCTTTCCCTAGGATTGGGGGGCAGTCCTCTATAAAAAGGAGAACACATGTGTATGGTTGTGCATCTCAGCATTTTGTTTTTAACCAAAATTGTTAATTTTTTAGAAGCAGCTTAGCCAGCAAGTGACTTGTGAGTGACTAAGCACTCAGTGTCCAAGCTTTGCTACCTGCTGTGTGCTTCAGTGACACCAGCCTTTGACTCAGGGGCAGCAGCCTACTTGAGAACAGCTTGGGGACCTGCTGTTGACAGGCTGCTCGCTGGACCTCAGTTTGTGCTATTTAAAGGGGGTGGGAGATCTGATTTACAGAATAATCAGGCTACAGAATTCTGCTTTTACCCTCTTTTACACTTTTGTAGTGTCTCGCTGATGATCATTTTGATGGTTCTTTGTAAAATTTTATGTTTCCACAGCATTGAACATAGCTTTAAGAGAAAAAGCCACCTTTTCCCTTTCATCATATAAAATTAAATCAAGTGGCGTAAAGTGCAAAGTTAAAATAATTTGGGGGGGGCTACTGGGGATCAAACTCATAACCTAGCCCTTACCAGGCAAGCATTTGAGCTGCTGAACTAAATCCCTGACTCCTAAAATAATTTTATTACCAGTTTTTCTGGGGGGAAAAAAAGCTATAGAAACTAGCTCAGTGGATTCTCAGCACACCCTGCAGCCCCTCCCCTGTCCAGCTCCTCGGTCAGCTGGAACTTGTTCTGCCAGCTGCAGGACTCGGAGTTCCCTAGGTGCCTTGCTGAGGGCCTGCAGGGCCTGGTAAGGCAGGTGACAGGAGAGAGGGCTTGCAGTGCGTTCTCTCTCCTGAACCTTAAAGCTTGGAAGATTAATAAAAAAGAAAAAAAGAAATGAGCCATCTGCTTTGACTTACCTTTGTATCATGATGCCTGCACGCTCAGCACAGTTTTAACGTGGTGTGCCCCAGTGTGCCCTTCTCCCTTTCTTTCCCCTCCAGGAGACAGTGAGTCTGTACCCTTTCCAGATACACAGCATTGCTCTTTCAACCTTCGCTTCTTTAATCGGCCCATTCGGAGGCTTCTTTGCCAGTGGATTCAAAAGAGCTTTCAAAATCAAGGTATGTATTTAGATTCTCTTACATTATACATGAACATTGCTAGAGAGTGCATCTTCCTTGGGTTGTGATCCACTGTTGGTTGAAGTTTAATCCTTAGGCAAAAATTATACCTGCAGTTTGTTTTAGCTGCACAAAAATGCTACCTGGTAGATTTGAGTGTGCTTTCCTGTTAGCCTCTGTTGTGCCATAAAAACACCTCTATCTTAAAGTGACCCGCCAGCCCCTTAAAGAAATGACCTGTTCCTGGACTGTTGGCATAAACTGAAGGCCCTCTTCATTCAAGTGCTCGCCAGGGGTCCGGCCGTGAATGGCCAGAGACGTAGTGCTTGGCCAGTGTCACTTGAAGGGAATGCATGAGAGCCGTTTGTGCGTAACTGTGCATTCTGCTAAGCTGGGGGTCACTAAATGTTTCCTGGGAAGAGTGAATGCTAAGTTGTCTTCAGCACGGAAGACTGTCACTTCTCCCCTGCCCTTTCCCACTCTGAACTCTGTGACCCCCACCCACCCCACAGGCCGAATGTCAATGATTGTGCATGACTGGGTCTCAATAAAGCTTTATTGACAAAGCAGGCTGTGGGCTGAATTGGTCTGTGGGACCTGCTTTGCCCGCCCTGCCCTAGGTACTTCACACTCAGAATATGCTTTGGTTAGGGCAGCTCATCATCTAGTCTCCCCTAGTGGGATGCAGGCCCCAGGGAAACTCAGGGAGGTAGCATTCAAGGTGAGGTCTGTGCAAAGCACACAGTAGGTCCTTCACAGACAGGGACAGAAAAGAGCCACAACGAGTGCAGAGAAGCAGAGGAGCTGAGCCTGCTGGCCTTGTGAGCCCAGTGTAGCCAGGAGGGCATCCCTGCAGGGCGTTGGTGGTAAAGGCCAACTGTGGTGTGCTTTGATTCGTTGAAATACATATCATAGAAGTAAAGTGTTTCTTTCAGGGGACAGACACGACTTTACGCCTGTCAACAAAACCAAAATAGCTCCCAGTTCAGTCTGGCTGAACAGAAGGATAGGCTATACCAAAATTAGATCAGGAATAGCTGAGGCCACTTTCATTTAGAAAAGTTTCCATTAGTGAAAAGTTAATTTTAATGTTTAATTGGCATTAGTCTGATGCTATGGGTCAGTTCCCAAATCATGCTGACATGAGCTCATACCTGAAAGATTTGGCTTTAATCTGTTGGGTGTGTTCTAATAAATATGCATTTAGTGGAAAAATTTAACAGTGTTTTCTTTTTGTACCTCCTGATGCTGAAAAGACTTGTAAACGCCTGTAAAGATAAGAGCTTTGCAGAGGTGATATTCTTGCAAATTCATGACTGACTGTGTTTGTTTCTGAAGGATTTTGCAGACACCATCCCTGGGCATGGCGGGATCATGGACAGGTTTGATTGTCAGTATCTAATGGCAACTTTCGTGCATGTCTACATCACAAGCTTCATAAGGTACCTATTCACCCCCAAGCTTCCTTGCGTGTTGCTTTGAGTTCTCATTTACACTGATATTCATTTGAATAAGTTTACTTATCTGTCACTGGAGATCTACCGTTGGCTGCGAGACCGTAGCTTTGAGTAGCGTGTGATACAGTGCCCTTGCAGTTTTTACACACCTTTAAGCAATTACCATAAAACAGACAGGTAGTGTACGCATGGTCCTTGACAAGGCTGAGCTAATGGGCAGTGAATGTGCCCAAGGCTGGGTTTGAAACATGAGATTAATTTCTCATGTGGGGCATTAGAAGAATGGCAAACTAATAAGAGTTAAAAAGCAGAAACCCATTCAGTCTTCCAGCAATTGCTTGAATGCCTATTATGTGTCCTAGAAGTTCCAGGCATAGATGTAGCAGGGAACAAAACCAGGTCTTTGCTCTCTCAGCTTGAGTTGAGAGATTAGAGGAGGAGGAGCAGGAACAGGCTAAATAAATAGCTGGTTAGATGCTTGTAGGTGGCCCGGGTGATTCTGCCTTTGGGGAATTGCTGTTGCAGCAAGGTGCTTTACTCTTGATACATAGGAAACTTGAGGCTTTGGACCTGCTGTAAAATAGAAGGTCAGTGTACAGGCTGTGCTCATCAGTTTCCATGGGCCGGAGTCAGGCCAGGGATGAATCGCACCTGAGGTGCTGACACTGCCCTACCTTTGTAGAGCCATTTACAGTAACGCATATCTGGAGATTCCTAACTGCATGGCTAATGTATACCTGCAGCATCGGAAGAGTTTTTTTGTTATTCATTGATTTATTTTTTTTTTGGAGAGGCTACAGTCTTATTACAGGTTTATCAGTTTCATTAATTTTTCACATAATCCTCCTCTAGCTGCGTTGGTCTGCGCTGTGGTGTGTCTGCTCTGCATACCATTGCTTTGTACTCTCATTTTCATCCCCGTATCTTCTTATAGTTTAATTTGCTGTTCTTTTCCCAGCTTCTTGAGCTGAGACCCAGATTACTGATGTTCATCCTTGTCTGAGTTAGCTTCCTCATCAGGACCATTTACCTCATCCTACAAGTTAGAGTTGGCTCCGTTACAGACACATTCTTGTTTACAGTGTTAAGACTTTCTTTGACACATGGGTTATTTAGGAGTATACTGATTGATTTCCATGCAAACGAAGGTTTTCTGATTCTTCTTGCTCTGTTGCTATTTGCTTGAATCCCACTGCAATCAAAAAACACATCCTTCATGGTTTTAGTATTTATTTTTGAGCCGGGGTCCTTGGCTCAGCACATTGCACTGATCTGTGTTCCAGCTATAGATGAAACTCACACAGGAGAAATACAACCTGCTAGATGTCAGATGTATGTGTTTGTATCCCTGAAATCAAAGAATAAATTCTAGAGGATAGTGGAGGTTAAGAGTAGGAAGGGCTTGAGAGATGGCTCCTAAGAGATAGGCACAGTCCTGGAAGTGGCTACCGAGGCCTCCTGCCAGGGGTAATTTATACAGCAAAGTCACGATGTGAGTATAATGTGGGTCAAATCATAATCAACCTGTAGGGTTACAAGTAGAGTCTGCTAGGGAAGCAGTCATATAGCAAAGGTGCATAGAAAGAACAGAGGCATCTGGGGGAGGGATGGGTCCAGATGCCTCCTCACCACTGGGAGGACAGATGACCGCACCTTTCCTTCAGGTGCAGAGCAGCCACCCCCAAGGACCGAGGCGGCTCCGGGTAAGAGCACACTTTACTGTCCACTGCTGTCGGGGGAGAGAAATCGGGAACTCGTCTGCTTTGAGAAACACACAGCCCAGATACAGAAAGAAGAGACAAGTGCAGAACAGGGGGACGACACAAGCCATGAGGGCGTAACTGCTTGAGGTCCTGGAGGGAGGCTGAGCCAAGAGATGGAGACAAGGAAAGGCCCTGAGACCGGACACGACACAAGTCCGTTCTGTAAGGAAAGGAGCCTGAGGGACGCAGACATGGGGTAACCCGGCAGGCGTAACTTCTTACCTTCAGACAAACTTCCAGATGGTAATGGGTACTTTGTCAAAGAAACAGGGAGCTAGGACTATTCAGGAGACGGAACACAGATGCCCCGAGCCTAGCACCAAAGCCCCTCTGCGGGACACTCAAACAGGTTCCAGAACCTGCTACAAGAAAGCCTCAGGTGACCCAATTCAGCAACCAGGATGCCAGCATGTGCACACAGTTTGAAAGGAGGATGAGGAGAAGGGTTCTGCTTGCCCTGTCACCCACAGCAGAGAGCCATGGATCTGGGCACAGACCCTCCCTGTCCACCCGGTCACCCTCCATCTTGCAGTCAGCCTGGATCCCTCCTGGGACCTCCTCCAGGACCCGTGCACACTGAGTACAACGCCAACCTCATGCCTGCCCCACTAGCAACACTGCTGCTGTCTCGTGGGACTGTGGTTTCCACCCTGGGCTCCAGAACTCTCTCGTCACTAAACCAAGACCACTTGTGTCGCTGCAATTCCGCAGCGCTGTTTGTCAAGGTTCAGGAGGAACCCGCCCAGCCCTCCTGAGCATGAGCTGCTCTTGCACTTTCCAAGACAATTCAGTTGGGGAGATCAGAATGAGGTTTGCATTTTCTGGAGATAAAGCCAGAATCAGCAAGGCTAAGTCACCATGGGAGATGGAAAGAAATTCTGACTCTCACATCAGCAGGGAAAGGGATGTGTGCTTCACACCTGAAACTGTTCAGACAGCTACAAGAGCAAGAATCCTGGCCACAGAGAAACGCCCACTGTGTGGCGTTCTCCCAGCGAGGGTAAAAAGAGAAACCCCCTTAATCTAGGAGTCTCTGAGTTATGAAAATTGCACAGTAGATCCCATCAGCCACCCAGGGTCACCCACGCTGACTCCAGTCACCTGCCAGCCGCTGTGGCCGGGAGCCTTGTACCGCCCAAGGACACTCAGCCAAAACCCAGGCTGCCCCATTTCATTCCTCCACAATACTCAGCAGCAGCCACAGCACACACCTGAGCAGGGCCCACAGAGGAAGGGAAGCGCTCCTAACATACTCAGCCAGCGAAGTTATGCTCCACCAGAGCAGTCCCCACCCACGGCTGACGGGAGGAACATCTACTTTCCGATGGTGACTGCAAGGCTCAGAGGCCTTCTGTACTGAGAGAAGAGCAGCTGTTCCTTACAAAGAAGAGTGCAAGTTAATGCATGCAAAAGCTGCATTTTCTGAAAATAAAGAGTTTGAAGGATTTATCCATGTATTACTAGTATCTAAGTAATGCATGGCAGCAAATAAGCATCCATCAGACAAAAAGGTCAGATGCTCCAACTTAAAAGACAAGGGCTGTCTACTAGGTTATAAAGCAAATTCCAGCTAAGTGTTTATTAAAGAAACCATTAAAAATAGGGATAATAAATGCTAAAAGTAAAGAGAGAGAAATGCTATGCCAACGCTAATCATAAGGAGACTGCTGTAGCTTTTCTAACATCCAAAAACACAGGCTTGATGGTGGCGGGTGGCTTGGGGGGCAAGGAGGGCTTTGCCCCTCGGAAGCTGCACTGACCCTGTCTCTGCACTGTTCCGCAGGGGCCCAAATCCCAGCAAAGTCCTGCAGCAGCTGCTTGTGCTTCAGCCCGAACAGCAGCTGAGCATCTACAGGACCCTGAAGACGCACCTCACCGAGAAGGGCATCCTGCAGCCTGTCCTGAATGTGTGACCGGCCAGGGCCTTAGAGGACTGGACCAGAGAGCCAGACACACAAGATCCTGTTGCTGTGCGAAAAAATGGTTGAGAATGCAATAGATTGACATTTTGCAGACATAAATGTTTCTCCTCTGAAATTACTGTGAATATTTAACAAGTACTCAGTCTGGGTCCTGAATTAAGCAGCAGATTGCCAGCCAAACGGCCTGTCCTTGTTCTATGTGCTTTCTAACGCTGCCTCCTTTCACCTTTGCTGGGTTTCATTGTCTGAGGGATTTGTATTTTAGGGTCAAACGCTACTTTTAAAGGTGTCTTCACATCGTGCCCGGCAGTGGAATCTTTGGCACAAATATTTACTTTTACCTGTGGAGCTGCTCTTTAATTTATCAGAATGATTTATGTAGGGTACCATAGGAACGGGCTTTCCTGCACGTCCTCCTCCCCTGGTCCCAGGGCCATTCTGAAGGGCCAAGGGCAGGGGAAGAAGACAAGGCACCCGCACCCTTTTTCTCTCTCGCCTCCCCCTCGCCTTCCCTTCCTGTCTCCTTCCTTGCTTCTTGTCTTTTGTGCCTCCCTCTGTCTGTCTCTGGCCCAGGGGATGACACCCAGAGCCTTGCATGTGCAGGGCTCAGGTTCTGCTGTTGTGGCACTGCAGCCACCCGTCCACTTTTCAAGGCAGTAGTCACTTGCCAGGAGCAAATGTTCTTCTGTTAGCCGCGTTCAAAATTCAGGAAAGGGAGGCTGCGGTTTCTGCCATCACTGCTTTGTAAGAAGTGCAGGCATTAAAGTGTCTGATAAAATTGTTAGGAAACCTTCCCGGGAGAAACCCGGGTGGTTCCCACTGGCAGAGCAGGCCTGCAAGGTGCTGCCCACATACTCCACAGACTGGACATGCTGGGCCTGGCCCCTGTGGCTGGAGTTTCCTGCTCTCTGTGCCCCACTGCGCTCTGCCTTCACGGAGCTGAGGCCCAGACACCAGCAGGTCAGCACAGGGCAGCAGTGACCATGGCAGGTGGGGGCAGGTCTTGCGTGTGGCCATGTGCACTGTGTAGATGCGGACCTGAGCCTGCAGCTCCTGGGTGCTGAGCTCGGGCTCCCCATCCTGAGCCCAAGCAGAGGCGAGTCCCACCACGACAGCAGACACGCACCAGCCAGCTGCTTGCTGTTGGGGATGGACAGTGACAGAGGAGAGTAATCTCTCCGCGTTTTTATCGGTAGTGTATGTTTGTGACATATGATGACTTACTGGTACCTAGCCACACTGCATTGTGTGATTCCCCTTCCCCTGTCCCTGCCAGCCTCGCCACCCCTTTCCCGCTCCGCACCTGCAGGGGCCCCAGGGCTGTGCAAGGCTGCACCCCACCTCCTGTCAGGCAGTTGGCAGGAAGCTCTCAGGAATCACCAGTGTCTCTGGCTCAGCATTCAGAAGGGAGTGGCAGATCTGTTTTAAAGAATGGTCTGCTAATGAAGAGAGTAAGTATTTTTGATTAAATCAGGAACAGGTGATGGTGGTTTTGCATTTCCATCCTACTCCCTGAAATAAAAGATTGTGGACCTTACGGTCTTAGCCTGGGCCCTGCGGGTCACGGAAGACACAGTCACTCCAGAATGCGTCTCAGTTTTGTTCTGGCCTGGCAGGCACTGAGCCAAGTGGCCACCACTGCATGTGTCGAGTTGGCGCAGTTCATGCTGCCCCCTAGAAGCTTAGAGTCTACTGAAGGAGGGGATGGGGTCATGCTGGAGGTCGGACCACCTGTGAGTGTTCAGTATCCTCTATCTCCTGGTTTTATTTGTCCCATTAAAAGATCCACATGTTGATCCTAAGAGCGTTTCAGGACCCCAGAATTTTAAAGTATGTTCAATGAAAATGTCCTATGGGAGGTCCCACTGAGAACTTGGCAGCTTGTGGCTTGTCAAGTAAAAACTTGCAGATGTGTAGCTCCCAACACATTTGCCTTTCCAGTAGTTGGTGAGGCTTTGCAAGGTAGAATTATGAAGGCATTGCTAAATATATGTATTATAAAATCAGTGTCATCATAAAAAGTATGAAACTAGAACTCTGGGGTCACAGTAAGAGCTTTTTCTCAAATATACTTTTAGAGTTGGGTGTACATTATATGTAAAAAAATTCTTAATTTTAACAAACCTATAATGATTAATCTTTTTAGCATACTTTTTATAGCATGTATATTAAAATAGAATATATTTTAGCAAAGAAATTGCCATAAAACCATGACTGGATCACTTTTCTATTTGCACTGTGACGAGGGCTTAGATTCCAGCGAAGCCGTGTAGTAGCGGAGCTGAGACGCCAGCCAGCGACTTCCTGCGGGCGGCTGCGGCTCCCAGCTGCAGACCTGCGCCCCGGGAGGAGGGAGGAGCTGCCACGGGACCTGCACTCAGCTGGCCGAGTCAGAGCTGCAGGGCACGGTGCTTCCTCAGCGCCTCCCTCCTGCGTCACTCACTGGCACTGAGAATGAAGAGACCTCGCCACCCACTTGGTTTTCCACGTACAGCACCTCTTCCTTTGCACTTTGGCTTGAACTAAGACAGTGTCACCTTGTTCCACAGAGAAGGAACAGTGGGAACTGTGTGTATTGTACCTGGGTGAGGGTGCACGATGTATATCCCCCCGCTCTCAGTCTTTTTACAGCATTGAGATGGGACAATAAATCCAAACATCGCATTTTGACTTTGTTGTGCCATTTTCTTACGGGAGAAAGCAGCATTTGTTCCCTGCACTGAGGATTATAAAGTAGTGACAGATACGTGGATTCACATCGACAGCCACATCTTTGGAGCACAGGGAAGCAGCTTTGGATGCCCCACATCCGTGTTGGCTAAGAGGTGATGTTCTAAAATTCGGGGGCACCCGAGCTGATATGCGTCCCCTCCTAGAACTCTGGGCTCTTGGAAGCCAGGCAGGGCTTGGCCTCTGTGTCCTCTGTCTGGTGGGAGTACGCACCCTGTAGGTGCTTAGAGGCTTCAGACTCCACTGGGAGCCCCTGGCCCCTGGCCCTGCCCGGCCTCTTATTTAGCTGTGAGCTGGGCTCTTCAGCACATTAGGTGTTTTAAGGACTCAGGGTTTGAGGCCACCTTTGTCCAGTCTGCTGCTATCCCATTGCTCCTCCCTTGTGGGAAGGTTGGGGCAGTGATGGAACAGAAAGATAACCATCATTTTTTGCTTCGGCTGCTTTTAGTGGCATTGGCCCAAATGTTCCTTGAACTGTGGATGACACAGCTGGTCTCCTTGTCCAAGCTAGGTGTCTGCAGTGCAGTCAGCACTGAGCTTTGTTTGGGAGGACGAAAGCACCAGGGCCCACTGTCCTGCACAAAAGAAGGGTGGGGACCCAGGGGTATGGGGCAGCCCTGCCTGCCTCCTGCTCAGGGCCTGTTCGTGCGTGACCAGGGCTGCCCCTTGCCTCCTGCAGTGCATGCCTTCCTCCATGCCCGGAGAGGGGGACGGGCTCAGCAGCTTTAGCTACTGCAGGTTGGGCGAGAGGTCATGACCCACCAGATCTCTGGCAGTTAGAAGTCTGCAGGAGTGAACCTTCTGGAAGCATCAGATGAGCATCGAGGCATGCTTCAGAGGGGCCTGGGCTGGCAGCTTTCCCACGAGGGCAAAGTGGGTTGCAGAATGAGCTGAGGGGGTCCCTCTACCCCTTCTTTCAGCTGCGTGTCTGCCCTGAACATAATGGCTCAGGGCTTTTCTGCTCGGGAGTGTGGCAGTGTACATCTCAGATGGGCCCAGGAAGCGTGGTGCCTTTGGGGAACGTTCTTAACTACTCAGTGTAGTTTTCATTGGCTGCAATATAGCCTGAACATTTGTGAAGGTCGAGTACCAGAAGTCTCAGTTTGCCCTGGTGAGATGGACACCCTGAAATAGGCAGAGCCGCAATCTGTTTCTTGTCTCCAACAGCTGTACTGAGATACAATCCAGCTTGAAGAGAGTTCCACATGCTCTGGAAGCTTCCTGGGTGCCCAGTGCAGTTTACCCCAGCCCCTGCCTCAGACAACCACCGTCTGCATTCTGTCTGCAGAATTCACTTTTTCCCCGCAGTGCGCACACAGCGAGATCCTACATCATGTCAGGTTTTACATCTGATACCGTGCTTTGCATCCATCACTAGTTTATATGAATACTGTTTCCATTTACCACGGAAATGTGGTTATTTCCAGTTGGGGGCTCTAATGGAAAATACTGCTACAAAAATTCGTGATAACCAAGTGTGGTGACCTATGCCTGTGATTCCAGCACTGGGGAGGCTGAGGCTGGAGGATCACTGTGAGTTCAAGACCAGCCTGGACGCAGAGCAAGACTCAGTCTCAGAAAACAAAAACAAAAAATTTGTCCACAGACATGTCTGTGAACCAGTTTTCATTCCTGTTGCATAGATTGCTGTGGGTGGAATTACTAGTTCATATTTTTAAAGATAGAATCAAATTGCCTGCCCGCCTGCCTGCTCTCCCCCCCCCCTTTCTTTCTGTCTTTCCTTCCTTCTTTCATCTCCTTCCTTCCTTTCCTCTTTTCTTTCTCTTTCCTGCAGTACTGAGGACTGAACTCAGGGCCTTCACACTAAGCTACGTCCCTGACCCTTATTTTATATTTTTTTATTTTGATACAGATCTTCTAAGTTATATCGCGTAGGCTGGGCCTGAACCTGTGATCTTTCCGCCTCAGCCGCCCAGCCTGCTAGGATTGTAAGTGAGCGCCCCCCCCCCCCAATCTGGCTGTTTCCTGAAGCCAGCGTGGTCTTCCACTCCTGCTGGCATCGCTCTTTGCCCTCTCCCAAGCCTGCTTCAGAGCTCCGCCCTGGTAGCTGGTGTGTAGAGGGGTCCTGTGGTTTTAATTTCATTTCCCACATGACTCTCACTATTGTGCATTCTTTCCTATGTTTATTTGGAATATGTATAACTTTTTTTCCAACACCAGGGATTGAACTCCCAACCTTGTGTTTGTCGGGCAGGCATTTGTACCACTGAGCTACATCCCAGGCCCTAGCTTCTCTGATAAAATCAGTACTCACAGTTTTTGACCATTTTAAAATGCAAATGTGTAAGATCCTTTTCAGTCCTCCAGGGTGCTTGTGACAGGCTGGGAACCTCTGGCCACGCAGCCAGGGTGGTGCCCACATGGCACAGAAGAGGAGGAAGGAGCCGGGTCGGCACAGAGCCTTCCCAGGAACCAGAAGCAAGCCTCGCCGTCTACAGCATGAATTCTCTCAACTTGCGCCAAGTTCTCCTGCTGTGACCCGATTCTGTTTGGGTGCACCACGCCCACTGGGTTGTCCTATTTGGATCAGGCCCTGTCCTTTCTTACTGCAAAATAGAATTTTCAAGGTAGGACCTCCAGCAGTGTCTGAGTAAAGAGGCAAGAGAATCTTCTTTCAAAAGATGTTTAGAAAGTGGGAAACTGAACAAAGGTGCCAACTTGAGAAGTGCCGTGTCTTACAGAACTCGCCCTCAGGGCTTTGGAGCTCCTGCTCGGCTGTGATGGTCCTGGAGGCCAAGGGACTCAGCAGACATGACACAGTGGCTGATGGCCACTCTGGGTGACATCAGCGGGAGTGGCAGTCCCAGTGGGGGGATGAGCTGGGCCCTGGTGGAAAGCTGCGTCCTTTTAGCAAAGTCACATGCATGGGGAGGACGTGGACAGCCCAGAAAGCTGGGGAGACAGACACTGGTGGCAGACCCTCGGCAGACAGGCCTGACCCAGAGACTCAGTCAGCTTAGAAGGGTTGAACTTGGAGACACCATCAAGAAAGTTAAAAAGACAAACCACAACCTGAGAGAAAATTTCTGCAAATCCTGTCTCTGATAAGAGACTTGTATCCAGAATATATAAAGATCTCTTATGATCCGGGTGTGGTGGCACCTGTCTGTAACCCCAGCTCTTCTGGAGGCTGAGGCAGAAAGAGAAAGTCTGAGGTCACTTTGGGCAACTTAGTGACACCTTATCTCAAAAAGGGGCCAAGGATACAGCTTGTATTAGTGTGCTGGCCCTAGCCAAACACAGAAGGCTACATACTGTATGGTTCCATTACGTGAAACATCCAGAATGGGCAGGTTTATAACTGAAGGGAGATTTTTGACTTCCTGGGGCTGGGGACAGTGGAATGGTTAGGGGCTGCCAGAAGATTCCTTCCTCTGGAGCCATGAAAATTTTCCAGAAATGTAGTGGTGGTTGTGTGTCTGTGTGAACATATTAAAACACTGAATGTGTACTGTGATGATTCTGTTTTAAAGCTGTTACTGGAGAAGCTGTCGTGGGTCTGGCAAGCAGACAGGAGGAGGACAGTGTGCTGTCTGAGTGTGAGGTGGGGAGGGGCCCCAGCTGGCTCTATTGTTAGGGGTCCACACAGCCCTCCTCAATCCATGCCGGGCAGTCCATGCCTTGGAGTACTTCAGCCTTGCCAGGTTGGCTCTAGGAGGAGGGGAGGAGGCTTTCTTCTGTCATTGTCACAAAGACCTTATGGCCTGTCCCCTGAGGTAGAAGATCTGGGTACATGGAGAGGGGGTGAAGGAACTTGTTCATCCATCCTGATACAGCAGTTTCATTAGAGTAGGGAACACTCAGCAGATTAGTAAAGCGTACTCACTGGCATGTCAGGGTGGGTCACAAAGGCATGGCCTTGGGTACTCTAGGTGGTTCCCCACCCCTTCCTCTCTGTTGCTGTTTCCCTGCTCTGCTCCCTGGCCACCATGAACTAACCACTACACTCTGCTCCACTACACTCTTCAGCCATAAAGTCTCTACCTTAGAGCCAGCTGGTCCTGGACTGAAACCATGAGCAAAGTAAAGCTTTGCTCTGTTACATTGTGATTACTGGGTGTTGGGTCCAGCACTGGCACAGCTGACTAATACAGAATATTGGTACCCCAGAAATAGGGTCATTGCTGCAACTATACCTTACTATGGGACTTACAAGCCTTTAGAACTGGTCTGTAGTAGGAGTTTGGAAAGATTTGGAGATGCTGGCTAGAGAGACTTTAGAATCCTATAAACAGACCTTGATAGATAATTCTGGAGTTCAGAAAGCCAGAATGTTGATGTGGACAGTAAAGTCCAGGTTTAGGTTTCAGCTGGGAACAAGGCTTCCATTGGCACTTGGAGTAGAGGGCATGTGTGTTACACTCTGGCAGAAAAGTTTGACTACATCTTGAGATCAGAAGTCTAAGATTAAGGGTGAAAGACTAATTGTTTTGGCAGAAAGAATTTCAAGACAGCTCAACATCTAGTCAGTGGCATGGGTACCGCTGTCTGCTTTGACCCAGATGGATGGTAAGAATCAGGAACAAAAGGGAGAGCAGAAAAATTTGAAGAACTTAAATTTTAGCTCAAAATGAACCATGTGTAAAGTTGGGATCAAAGAAGGTACGTCTGCTAAAGAGATTAGCACAATTAAAAAGAAGCCAAGTACTTTATAGAAGATGCTTTCAGGGCATCTCAGAGATCAGTAAGACCCTTCCCATCACTCAAGGGTACAAATTTGACAGCCTCTCATTTGAGAAGAGTTCCAGAAGGCCTGCTGGAACTAGAAGAGCTAGAAGTTGTTTCAGCACATGCAGTCATTCAGGCACTTAGAGGTTGCTGTAGCCATGGGCTAGAGGGGCCTGACTGTTGCTTCTGTAGTGGAACTTGGTGTTTTCTGTGGTGCTGGTTTTATTGACATGTATAATGTAAGA